ATTAGAATCATTCTATATAACTATTAGATATGAATATTCTATGTAGTGTAAGTAATAAAATAAATATTCAAATTGTATATTACAACAACGATACAATAGAATCTAAGAAATAGAAATAAGTAATAAACACAATAACAGTTAAACAAAACAATACTGAAATAATATTCAATTAAAGAAACAATATTCTGTAATTATTATTCTTATATTTATTTATTCTTAAAATATCGAGTACTTTCCGTTATTAATGTCTGTTTTTTTTACTTCATAATAAGTTTTTTAAAAAAGATGAAATTTTATTTCTCTCTTGTAGCATATTTTTTGTCTGCCTCTCTCTCATAATCTTTGAGATTTTTCCTAAATTTAGGGGCCCAAATTGGTTGTTCCCCTCTCTCTCATAATACCTAATGCTCAAACTAGTTGTTCCCCTCCCTCTCATAATCCTGAGATTTTTCCTAAATTTAGGAGCTCAAACTAGTTGTTCCCGTCGGATTAACTATGACCTCCGATAATTATGACTTACTAAATTTACTCATAATCCCTCAGATTTTTTCTAAATTTAGAGGCTCAAACTCGTTGTTCTCCTCTGATTTTATCAGATAACTATGACTTACTTTAGAGAGGTAGAGCCGATTTTATCGGATAACTATACCTTTAGAGAGGTAGAGCCGATTTTATCGGATAACTATACCTTTAGAGAGGTAGAGAGATCACGGCACAAGAGAAAAAACATTTTTCGATTCTTTAAGACCCTAAAAATTTTAAATTTTGGGTTTTTCAAATAACGGAAATTGGTATTTTGGTAATAATGAAAACTAAAACGGACATTTACGTAATTTTTCCAAAACATAAACATGATGGGTTCGATTAACGGTGATGATTCAAAGTGTGGTATCTCTGCAGTTGTGGATTAAACATTCGTGACACCTAAGACCACGGTGTCATAGTCATGTATATCAATTGGAGATTGAGAGCTTCTTATTCTTATTATCATTATTATAAATAAATTAAATATTTATATAAAACATGTAAAAATAAAAAAAGTTTTAAAAATAAAAAAAGTTTTAAAAATAAAAAATAAAAAATACTTTTATGCAAATATTTACTTGCTTATGCTGAATCAACGCCCCGGACCAAAGAGGCAACATCACCAGCCTTGGCTTTGCTTCGGTTTAGACCTAAAATCTGAAGTTCTGCTAAAGTGAGTGACCCGAATCTAAATGGCTTCACTTTGATTTAGGTCTAAAATCTAAAGTTCAGCTGAAGCGAAATGAATCTGACAACATTATGAAAAGAAAAGAAAAAAGAAAAAAAAACGAAAAAAAAAGAAAAAAAAAAGAAAAAAAGAAAAGAGGTTGGAGCCATTCCATATTATAAGAGAGAGAGTTTTTTGTACATAGAGAAGGACCCATAATACAAGCAATAGTTTTGCATAGAGAAGAGGCTCATATTACAAGAGAGAGAGGGTTTGATATTTATCTATAGAGAAGGAGCCATAATACAAGAAAGAGTTTTGCGTAGAGAAAAGGCTCGTACTACAAGAGGAGAGGGTTTCATATTTATCTGGAGAGAGACTCAGAGATTCATATGTATCATCAACAGAGTCTCTTGTATATCTCAGAAAAAAAATCATTTTTTTTTTCTTATTTCTTATCAATGTTGACGCCAAGCTCTTTCTCTTTATATCTCCGAAAAAATCATTTTTTTCTTCTTATTTATTATCAATGTTGGTGGAGAGAGAAACTAGGTAAGTTACATCATGTTGCTTCGCATCTAGGTAAGTTACATGATTTCTGTTTCTCAATTCTTCTTGTTAGGGTTTATCCAATCTACATCCCAAGATAAAAAAACAAAACTGAAATAAAATTTGAATTTATTTTGAAATAGCGAAGTTATATCATATATGTTTTGCCTTCTTCTTGTGAGAGTTTATTGAATTTACTTATTAAAAAATGAAATAAAAAATTTGCTTTTATTTTGAAATGAAAATACTATCATGAACACCAAAGTATCAATTTTCTTCTACAATTTCAAAAACAAAATAAGAAATTTCACTTTTATTTTGGAATAAAAATCCAACATTATACTCACAATATAGTTAAGTAATTGCAACAGATAAATAAATACTGTTTTTTTTTCTACTTACTGAGATCTTAGTAACATGGAGAGTTAAATATTTCATTAGTATTTTTAAAAACTTCATCTAGAAATAAGCAAGAGAGATTTTGGAAATATATTTAGAGTACGAGATAATTTTGACCTAAAATAGTAAGGAACCTAATATAGAGTCAAAATCATTAACCTTTTAGAAAACTGCAGATCTTTTCGTGATTTGTTGCTTTAACTAAACAAGATTCTCTAGCTATTTTTGTTGAATTTGCAGAAAACCCTAGTTTAGGAAGCTGCAAAAAAACCCTAGTTTTTACTCCCTGATTTTTTTCGTGTATCATACCTAGGTAGCAAGGGACCCCTAATTTTTTTTTTTTTTTTTAATGTATTTGGACTCCATATTCATTGCATGGTAATGGCAGAAAACCCTAATTTCTTACATTTTTTACTCATTGCATGGTAAGGACAGAAAACCCTAATTTTTTTTCATGTATTTGGACTGCTAACTATTATTTTTTCATGTATTTGGACTTTGGAAAACCCTAATTTTTTTTCATGTATTTGGACTGCAAACTCATTGCATGGTAAGGGAAGAAAACCCTAATTTTTTTTCATGTGTTTGGACTGCATATTCATTGCATGGTAAGGGCAGAAAACCTTAATTTTGTTTTCATGTATTTGGACTGCATACTGGAAAACCCTAGTTCTTTTTCGTGGTAGACAACCCTAACTGTTGGTAGGTGGAAAGCCCTAGTTTTTTCTTTTTTGTGTTCCCGAATCACCTCTCGAAGTGTTTAAACTCACCAAAACCTGATGCTAACTTGATTCTAAACGGAATCCTTCTTAATAAAACTCGGAGTTGCCGAGCAAATCAATTGGGGCAGTTGTTTAGAAACAGGAGATTTTATTGTATTCCTTCTTCTTCTCTCTCAATTTCTCTTACCAGTTACCAATCCTTCCTTCCTGCAGGTATGATGCCCTCAAACAACTCAAACAACTCTCCTTGCGCTGCTTGCAAGTTCCTCCGCCGCAAGTGCACGACTGAGTGCGCCTTCGCCCCTTACTTTCCCCCTGATCACCCCGAGCGTTTTGCCGATGTACACAAGGTATTCGGTGCTTCTAATGTCAGCAAGCTCCTCAACAATATCTCTCCTCCCAACCGGGAAGCTGCTGTCACGGGCCTCTTCTTTGAGGCCAGGAAGCGCATTCAGGACCCTGTCCATGGCTGCACGGCCCACATCAACGAGCTCTACGGCGAACTCAATGAACTCTATGACCTCATTAAGAATGCGATGAACGAACTCGCCACTTATAGCCCCCCTTATCCCCACCCCCAACTCCACCACTACTTGGAGATGCCTGCATTGCCTCCTTCCTCCAAACAACAGCAATTGCCTACTGCCTTTGCCCCGCCGCAGCAACTTTCTGCTGTGCAGCAGTATCAGCAGTTGTCCGCAAATGCTGTACAACCGCGCGAGCAGCAACCGTCTGAACACCGGACGTTGCCTTTGCAGCGGAAGATTAGCTCGTGCCACCACCACCACTACCAAGAGATGATGCATGCTGCATCTCCATCTGCATCACAACAACTCCAGCAGCTGTCTGCTTCTGCTTCTGCTGCTGGTGCTGCACAACAACACATGCAATTCTCAGCTGCCAGGCCTGTGAAGACGGAAGGACAACTCCATTGCACGAAGCAGCCCATGATGATGCCACTGCCGCCGCCACAACAGCAGCGACAACAAGTTGTGACAGGGTATGAGGCCGAGCTCCGAAGTAGGGAGAAAGCTTTTGTCGAGGCCTTCAAGGCTGGACGCGACGGATGCAGGTCTTACTTGCATGGTGATGGTGGTGAGCCTCATTCTTCTTAACTCTGCAAATCATGGCTTGCTCTTGTCATAGCATAAGGTTTTCATGGTAAAAGGTACTCTGAATCGGTTTTTAGAGATTTGTGAGATAATGTGTTTGATATTAGTTACTGATTTAGGGTTAAGATATTAGGGAAGGCAGATCTGTGTTTGTAACAGCTTTGGTTTAAATTCATTCATGCCTTTCAAAGAAATGGATATTCATTTTTTATTTTTTAGGTGTTATATTTATTTTTTATTTTTTAAAAATTAAAAAGTAAAGCTTATTATTTTTTATTAAAACATCACATAATGAATCTACTCGAGCCCTCTTTCTCTCTCTTCCCATCTCTCTCTTCTCATTTTTGCTGAAACTATTGATTGTTGTTTGTTGTATGAAGGAAGCTAACGTGCATTTTAAATGACGGGGAAAATTGCTGTATTTTACAGTGAAAAATACTTAGTGTTATTTCAAAATAATATTTTTTATTATAATGTCTTGAAAAATGTGTTTTTTCTTATTAGTAAAGAGATAAGTAGTAGGTTATTCATCACACATTGACCAATGAAGTTGGGGAATTCATTTTTAAAAATAAAGATATCCTCTTCCCTTGTATTCTACAACCCAACAGGCTATATGACGGACGTGCATGTGCCAAGAACAGTTGATGATGCATTTTACACACGTTATACTTGGTGCATTTCAGTAACTAGTCCACTAGTGAAGATGTGATGCATTGCCGATGCACCCTTGCCACCACCAATAGATGTGTTTCGTGTGTATTATGCTTGATGGTTCAGTTATTTGAACCAATTGCATGTCGGTTGCAATTGAAGAACCAAGTCACGACTCTTCATCTAACTCTAACTGGTGCACAATGAACATTCGCATTGGGTGGAGATCAATAAACGTTTGCATTGGGTGGAGATGAAAAGCAACTTTTTCTCTTTATAATAAGTATGAACTCGTTTCCTCTCTTGTGTGCCAGTTTTTCTTGCACTTGCTTTAGATCTCGTAATACTGTATTGGTGGGATAGTTTTTCTCAATTCTCTGCTTGTTTGTACCCCAAGGGCAAATTTGCTTGGAGAATTTAGATTCACACTTATTATAAATTTTAACCTTGTGAAATTGATTACAAGTATAGTTTTCTTGTAGGCTCTTGCTAATTCTTCAAGGCTCTAAAGTGTATATTAGGTTCCTTGAATCAATGATTGATGGTAGGGTCTAAAGAGCAATGGCTTGAGATTAGTTTCGGTCTCACTAGGCCGATTTCCTCTTGGAAATAGGAATGGCTCCAAAGGCTAGATAAAAAGGATTCTCTTCAAATATTATCTTTTGTACATAGAAGTCACAATCACTCGTGTATATTAAATTTCAAAATGGGTAGTTATAAGATTGTTATTGAACAGACACAATTCCAAAAAAAAATTTCTCAGACTTCGTGACTCGTCTCAAGCCATCTAATTTGATATCTAATGAGTGAGAATGTGAATTTCAAAATGGGTAGCTGTAAGAGTATTATTAAATAAGCACAGTTGCAAAAAAAAAAAAAAATCTCGGACTTTGTGACTCATCTCAAGCCATCTAATTTAAAGTTTAATGAGTGACAATGATTGTGACCTCCATGTCTAAAAAATAAATGATGTTTTTTTAGACAATCCTAAGACAAAATCATGACAACAAATAGATGGTGTTTTTTTAGACAATCCTAAGACAAAATCATGACAACTAAGCTTTGTCTTCTTCCTATTAGATTCCCTGAAACAATGTTGATACAAGGGTTTAAGAATTGGTGGTCGAGCTTAAATTTTGTTCCCTCACTAGGCTGAATCCCTCTTCAAATTAGAAATCCACCATATTCTCTATAAAACCATGCATTTGTTTTCCTTCATGTTTTTATTTTGTTTTATTTTATTTTTTTACATTTTCGAACAAATCGCCAATTTGATTGATCTGGATAGCTTGATTGGACTAATCCGGGTTGCTTCATCAATGAACAGACCATACATGGGGAAGATGATTTATGCAATTCTTTTTTGTTTGACGTTATTGTTATTTTTTTAAAATTTTTGGTTTGATGGTGATTCAGATCACCCCATTTGGTTGATCCATATTAGCACAATGGAGGCTGATCCGCACAACCGATCCGTGTTTTAGGACCCTATTTGGCATTAGTATCAAGTTCCCATTAAGATCCTTGAATCTCCATCAGACGATTTTTAATGGAAAAGTATTTGGTCCACTTCATGAGAATGTTTGATCGTGCACAAGCACCCTCCCAACCACTCAAATTAAAAAGAAAGAAATTCGATGGCTATGATAAAATTTAAATTTTTAATCTTATTTTTCTTCATAGTGGATTATACTTAAATAGCACAGAGGAAATATAAAGCAAATGATTTGAAAAAATAATTAACGAATATACCCTTAAAATATTTAGGGAATTTTGTTTGAAATATTTTTTATAATTATTTTAGGCGTGCCTAGGTGAAGTGCTCACACCTTAAAATTTTCATGCCAACAAAAATTACAACTCAAATATTATATAAAATCTTGTTCATCAATTCTCTTCTTTTATAATCCGCACCATAGGAGGGTGCTTGTGCACTATACAAGAGAAAAGTAAGTACTCTTATCAAAAAAATAAAAAAATAAAAAAATAAAAAATAAAAAAAGAGAAAAAAAAAGAAAAAAAGAATGACAAAATATACAAGTAGATAATTCATGAGAAGATTTGGGACTTTAAGCTGCTCTTTTTTAGGGCAGCAAGTCCCAAGCATAACCTTGCCCAATCAAAATTCTCAAACAACATTAATTATCTCATCGGCACTTCATTGTCTTTCAAGTCAAAAGGCAACTAGGTGCAGTAGTCAAGCAACCAGGTGTGGAGGTGTAGGTTCTTTATAGAATGGCTCTTCAGTAGATGCATGAATCTCTTCTCAACCATGTGAAACTAATTGTGAGCAATTTCTCATGGTTGGGACAATCTCCCAGCCAACAGTATATGTATGTGTAATAGGGCCAATAGTTCTCGGGAAGGGGCAAACGTCGTGGTGGTAGCACACCACACCTTAGTCATCGTGTTGTGGTTTCTATTCTCATTCTCACTACTAATACCACTCCACTAACACTTTAAAAAAGCTACAACTTGAAAAATCGAATAGGGGCCTGTCTTCCTCATTGAATTAACCAAAAAAAAATAAAGGCCAACACTTCCCTATTATGACAGGATTGCTTGTGACCACACATCATCTCTCCAATACTCTCTCGAAGGTGGGCGGTGTTGGTCTGAGGCCACCACCTGTCTACTAGTGCCCGTGCTAGTGGGTGAGAGAGAAACAAGGAGAAGAGAGAGAAAAGGCAAGTCTATCTTTTAAATGAGATGGAGGGAAAGGGGAAGTCTATCTTTTATGCTCCATGTTATTGAAAGTAGTCCGATATTGGCAATATCAAAATCGATGTTAAAAAAAAACAAAAAACAAAAAAAACGAAAAACATTATAAGCTGATTAATATTCCCAATATTGGACTGCTCTACAGATAAGGGTGGCAATTGGCTGGGCTTGGGCAGGGCTAGCCTTGTTCCTAGCTGGGCCCTTGTCCTCATAGGGCTGGCCCAAGCCTAGCCTGAGCAAAAATTAAATAAAAAAAAATAAAAGAAAAATCAATAAGAAAATGAGAGCTGAGCTAGGCCTACCCTATCTCTAGCCCAGCCCTTAGACCACAGTTTATGGCCTAGTCCCTACCTTTTTAGGGTCGGGCCGATCGTGCTAGGCTGGTCTACTTGGCCCATTGCCAACCCTATCCACAGCAGATTTAACGAGCGAGAATGGGTCGAATATTGAAGATATCACATCGTGTTAAAAAGTTTGAATCTACAAGTGATCCAATGATTCTAATGCAAGACATCTTCACACTCAGCTGATTTAACGAGTGAGAATTGGTCCGATATGTGACATATTAAACCGTTTGTAAAACCAAAAAAAAACTTATAAGTTGTCCAATATCAAATAACTTCCACTTATTCCTTCAAAAACCACTAACTAATTAAAAACGGATAGGGGTCTGTCTTCCCCAATGAATTACTCAAAAAAAAATAAAAATATTTTAAATTGTCATTGAAATTGGGGAATCCGATATCTAGAGCATTAAATACCTTCAAAAATAAAAAAAAGCAACCAGTTCGATATCAGTGTCATTGGACTAGAGAAAAACTAGAAAAAAGACCACGAAAAGTAGGGGCCTTCAAATAAATTTTGAAAAATATGAACCATTTCGTAACTCCAGTAAAACAAACTAATATGTTCATAATTTTTCATAAGAAAATTTCCATATGGATCCCATTTTTCAATATTAAAGAGATGATCCTAAAATAGTTTAATTTTACAAGTATGCTTATTTTCTTATGATTTTTCATTAACAAAATTACCTCTAGTTCAACCCTTCGATCAAATATTATGAATTCACAATGGTTCAAAAATATTTCTCAAAAACTAGAAATTCGAATGTTCCTTCTTTTTTAAAAGAACACTGAATAGTTCGACCCTGGAAGTAAACTTCTTTTTTATATTTAGAACATAAAAGAATCCACTAAGTTAAAAACGAAACGCAAAAGTTTTATCCGCAGATAAAGTTTCTATTGGGCCTGGGCTTTATGAAAACAAAATAAAGCTTCACTCAAATCCTCATCCAAAAGTACTTTTGGTGTAGAAACTCTTCATAAAGGCTCTAAAATCAATTTTCAACATCGACAATATAATCTAAAACTAAAAACATGGTAAAAATATTGATTTTTTGGGTAAAAATAGACGGTTTAAATGTGTCGTAATATACATTATTTTAGAAAGAGAGTGATTTCATGCAACGATTGTATACTAATATAATGAAATGATCTTGAAAAACTATGTTACGATCAATTTTTTTTTAATATACACTATTTTCATTTCAATGAATAATCACAAAAAGTAAAACTTGCAAACACAACCTAGAAAATATATATTTAGCCCAGTTAACATAGACCATTCATATCGGTAAGATGCTAAGATCTAGGTCTGAGAAGGATTTTTTTCATTTTCAATTTCTTTAGATGGATTTATTATCATTAGATGAACAATGCTAAAAAAAAGAAAAAGATAATTTTGAGTTTGTAAAGATTTAGATCTTGAAATTCGTCAAATGGATGATCCAGATTTGTTGTTGGAAGTGACTCATTTTAACTATATCTAGGGTACAAATTGAATTTTATTTTTTTGAAAATTGATTATTAAGATGAAGAGAGTGTGTATGCAAAATTGGGAGTCAAATAAATGCCACAAACATGCTTTTCTAGAAATCCCGTTTCATTGTATTATAATGACATGTTGACATTATATCATTCCCCTTTTTAGAATTTGTAATCTTAATTTTTTTTCAAAACTATCATGTTGGATAAGATAATAAATTTCAAGGTTTCCACTTGAATTGCAATTTCGATGAGTTATGAGGTGAATATTTACTTATTGGAAAATGTTTATATAAGGTTGCAATCTTGAAATGTAGAATTGAAGGTGCACCTCAAAAATCCATGATAAAATGTTGTTTAAATGTTGAAAAACCCTCTAATTGGTCATTTAGACATCGAGATGTATGAATATAAAAAGGAAAAAGATTTCGAGTCTACTAAATAATGTATCTTGCAACACATTATTTGGACTGTCCATTTTCAAGATTTTTATGTGTTTATAAATCTATTATTTGGACTGTCAATTTTCAAGATTTTCATGTGTTTATAAATCTATTGATTTGAATCATTTTTAAAGTTAAAATTTTTACAATTAGATATATTGTCAAGCTATCTTAAAAATTTTTTATATCAAATTCATATTTATAATAAAATTTAGAGCTGCGCCTTAATTGAAAATAATTGTTTAAGGCTGCAACCTTGTGCAAACCACACCCCTTATTTATTTTGACGGCCCTATTGAAAAAAACCATTTCCCTTAGATCCCGACTTCCACTAACCCCGTCTCTCTCTCTAAAGCCTCAGTCCCACTGCCCAATAAAACCTGAGGCACCACCATTTTTAGTGAGAATCTATTTTCAATACAGCTGAGTAAGGGTCCGCTCTTTTTTATAAAGGGACCAGGGCCAAAGCCCGAGCAAATTTACGTTCCGATTACTAGGTTCTTCTCATCCTGATTCTACAGGTAACAGATCGACCATTTCTCTCATCTATTGCCTCTGATTTGTCTCTTCTTTTGGATCTATAAAGTTTTTGGGGTTTTCGTTTCATGGATTGTATGGAGTATTGCATATATGAAATGGGTTTTAGGTTTTTCTCATATATTGAGCTCTATCACTGGATTAGTGAATTGGTTTTTATTTCACAGGGTTTTTTTTTCACGGAATGAATTGGGTTTTGCTGGTTTGTTGTGTGTTGCAGAAGGGTTTTTGCATATTTTTGTATGCTATAAATTGCTTTGTATTGGGTTTTGGTTTCATGTTTTTGTTGTATGCCATAAATGTTCGTAGAATAAAGGAAATAGTAAGTATTCTGATACTTGATTGAATGGAGTTTGGGATTTAGGAGTGCAAGTTCTACGAACCTCAATCATAAATTTGGAGTATCAATGAAGACTAATCACATCTTTGATCAAAACTCTTTACAGAATGATGAATATTGGTTGTTCATCTTCAAATAAAAAATTTCTTATTTGAGTGCATTTCAATACCTTAAAGACCTGTAGGTTTACACTAGAAAAGGGTGGGTGTTCCATTGACTAGATTCATACTTCTAGTAGGTGTTGCACCAGACAGTGCATCAATCCTCTCGCGACCTGCTGTTCAAATTACTGTGTCTGTTATCTATTAATCATTCTCAGCAAGTAAAGAGTGACTTCTTAACTTTCCATAACCAATAACTTCAAATTCTGCTCCCATCAAGCTCCCATTCCATTGACAGAAAATGCAAAATCTTCAATGATGACCTGAAATTTGTTCGTGGCATCAAATTGAACCAAGCAAAATAACCACATAGTGTTCAATCAGTTGGTTCAGAGAGGACCACATCAGGCCTGATCCAGCTCTAAGGTCCAACCAGATTAGAACGGGGTTTGTCATCATCGTCAAAGTATTTTCCCAACTAATCTTGGTCCGCCATTCTGCAATATTAAGAGTCTTACCCTTAGTGAGGCCATAAGTCCCCATATCTTTTCTCGCTACTTCCAATCATGTTCTTTTGGTCCTGCCCCTTACCTTTTTTGAGCCTTCCACTTGAACTAATATCTGATCCAACAAGTAAATTTATTTGGTTATAAGAACAATCCAAATGAATTCAGCAAGGCTGCATTGTATTACAATTCACAACCTCATGGAATTCCTTTTAGAATTTAAGTGTCCGTTGCCTCATTTTTGGCCTTCAGATATTATAATTTCTATGCAATTGAGCATGACTAGAGTGGAAGAAACATGGCTAATGAGGCTGCTAGGATCATTAAAAGGTACAATGAATTAATTATGATCACATGAAGAAATAAGAATCCTGACCATGGTAGTCTTTGAAGCTATAAATAGATTATTACTGTAGGCATGTATGAGTTATAATGATCATAACATAGTTAGATTAGCTTCTAGACGAGGGACAATGGCATAAAGGTTATGGAAGCACTTGCCCATCATGCCCATCACTTAATTGACATAACATGTATTTGCACTACAACATAAGAAAAAGGAAAGGTAAATGACTCCCATATTACTTAATTGCACACCAAGGGTGATTATTATTTTATATCCACTTTGATCTCTAAGTCTGAGGCAATGAGGATGGCTAGTTACTCTGATATGACACAAAGCACAAAAAATCCCATAGTATCAATTGATCGGTCAACCAACACCAATAGCTATAACAAAAGCACAGTGGAAGAAGAAGGTTCGTCACAACCCCACTCACTCACTCGCTTGGCACTCTCTTTCTCTTAGTGTTTCCCTCCCTCTAAATTTATCTCTCATCCTCTTTATTTATTGATCTTTGTCTTTGTAGCCTTTAGATCTCTTGCATACTATGTCCTTTGCTTCTATCTATCTTGTCACTTTTCCCTTTTTTATCTCTTCACATGCCCCATTCTACTAGTCCTTTTTTGTTTCTTCAATTTTTGTTTCTCTATGATGCGGAGGCCTCTCTCTCCCTCAGTTGATTTGTGTTATAATTTTTCAGTCTTAGAATAGAATGGGATGCCAAAATTTGTGGTGTTGTTGTTTTCCTTTTTATTTTCTTATGGCGGAACTGCTGGTTTACATCAGTATAGTTATACATTTCTTTCGTGGATTATTGTCTGTAACTTATTGTCGTCTTTGATGATATTTTCTTTTTGAATGTGGCATTTATTTGAACATTAGTGTGCTGTTTGGGTGCACCAGGGCAATATCTTCGGTTAAATGTTATGTCTGATTTTTCTTTGCCCTGATCTCCTAATTTTTTTATTATGAATTCCTAGTTCCTTCCAAAAATACCTTGTTTCTCTTTGGTATCATTCCTGCCCCAACTATGGCATAGGATGCTGTGATTTACAATACAAAAAGATAAGGGTAAAGAAGTGGTTGTAAAATTTGGTGGAAAAAAATTGAATGCTACCTTTAATTATGGAGATGATGTGCTTGTTTATGAGGGAATTGGCAAAGAAATGACAATTGATCTAATAAAAGCGTGGGTCAGATGGAGAGTGTGCAAGAATGTAAACTTGACATGGGATTGGCAGTATAGGCACCACTATGGCGTCCCATTGTTCTCACTTGTTGAGCCTAGCCAAATTCAGTCCACCTTAAAACAATATTTTCAACTAAACCTGAGGAATTAGGCTCTTCCATGTTTTTTGGCACATAAAAGGTGAATGCTGCAGCACGTTATTCAACAAATACTGCTCTTATTTATATTGTTATACGTATAATGACCATGAAAGCCAATTACAACCTAGTGAATGAAGATGACATAAAAAACCATACATTATAGATTACATATTCAAGTAACATATTGTCATTGTGTAACACAAAAACCTAAAACATCTGTAGGGAAGCCATTTAGACCCTATACTCGTTGTTCTCTAGCATTGTTCTTGTGTCCTCGCACTGTGCTCTCACTTGGAAGTGTGATTATGTGCTTGTTTCGTCTTTGGATTGGAACCATTATTATTATGGAGAAGATTGGTTCCTCTCATGTTCTTTATGGGGCTGTTTGGATCCCTGGAAAAAATTACTAACAAATATTTTTCTAGGGAGATTGGTCATTTCCGCCATTTGGATCCAAATCTGGGCGAAAACTTTTTTCTTTCAGAAATTATTTCTCTATTTTGAGCCCAAAACAAAGAAATTCTTTTTCTCTCCACAAGCTAAACATTTAATTTCTATGTCAGATTTCCTTATGAAGCGGGCCAAAAAAAAAAAATTTAAAATGAGTGTATAGCTAGTGGGGCCTGGATGGAAAAGGGCAATCTCTTGTCTCTCTCATCCACCCTCTCTCTCTCTCTCTCTTCTCTCGCCCCCCTCCCCCTCCCCCAACCCACTCTCTCTTTCCCTTTCTTCTCATTCTAAAAAATTCTTATAACTTTGTTTGTCGTCTCTCTCTTTTCATGGAAATCTCTTTCTACTTCCATCTTGCTATAGCCACTTCCTCCCTATCTCTACCATGTTTTACTCTCTAGAGATTCCTTCCTTGCATTTTAACCCTTTTTCCAAGTAGAAATGCATCTTCCAGTGGGCATCCAGATGCTATCCAAACGATAAAAATGCATTTTATAGGAAGTATTTTTCACAGGAAATGTATTTTACAGGAAAGTTTTTTCCAGACAATTTTTTCCGGGTATCCAAAGGGGCTTATCTTAAGTGCTATTTACCGGTGTATCAAGTGATATGCTATCTTGGTGCTATGGCCCAAAAAGCATCTATTAAAGCAAGTGGGGGTGAGCCATGCCCCCATCTCTTATGAGGATTCACCAGCTTAAGGCTTAAGGTGATAGGACTTCTTGTCAAAGAAAAACATAAGATCTCTCAACACTCTAGTGGTCAGCCAAGAAGGGTCTACACAAAGGCACCTCACCTCAAATAACTTTTTATGATAAAATGTATTGCCAAGGCACCTATTGTGGAGCCGGTAGGAGGCATTCTTGAAAGGCATTGATGATGGAACAGCGAGAGATCTGGTCTAAGAACCTTGTCTAGGAAGAATTCTTTATTGCTTTGAATGACATTATCTTTGTGGTTCAGCATATATTTGAATGTTAGGATGTCCTTGTTGCATGCATCAAAGTAATTTCTTCTGGTTAATCTTATAGTATCTGTGAATATTTCTTTTCCTTTGATTTCTTAATTTTATCTTGTGAGTTTCTACTTCATTCCACAAGGAAAATGCATTGACATATTGGTATCATTCCAGCCCCAAATACTTAAAAGTGTTAGCCAAAAGATTCCCTATTCCCACGGGACTATATTGTACATCTACTCCCTTGAGCAAAATTCATGATAGGACAATGTTATCACATGCAGCCACAATGCATTATGCAGCTGCATTAAGCGGCTGCATAATGCATCATGCGGCTATCATAGCATTGTCCCAAACTGCATATGCGGGACTTCGTGAGTGCATATGCGGTCGCATTGCCTGCATCACCCACATCGTCTGTGATGCAGGGGCCCGCCCATTAGCAGGGCCAAAATTGTAATTTCCCCTCTAAAAGGGGGGTATATTACTCCCCAAAAAACCTCTAGAACCATGCTTCCATGGTTGTAAGGGGATTGAAATAAAAAAAAGAAACAAAAACCTTTTGTGCTTCCAAAATGTTAGAAAAAAATTTGGGGTTCGTTCTTGAATTGTTGGTGGATTGTTTGATATTGTTTAAGGCTTCATTTTGAAAGTCGTCTAGTGAATATTTACAAGTATTCCAAGGATTCAAGGCCTTGGAGATTAAATCCAAGAAATCGGAATTTCTTACGATTTGGGCTTTGTAAGTTTTCTAGTGAATATTTACAAGTATTCCAAGGATTCAAGGCCTTGGATATTAAATCCAAGATATCGGAATTTTTTTCGATTTGGGCTTTGTATGTTATGTTTAGGTTGTGGCTCTGAGGTTATGGTCGTAAAACCTGTGATTTTGTAAGTATTTTAGTCTTTGGATGTTATGTTAAATTGTTAATTATCGTTACTATTGGGATGGAATGG